CTTCTTCCGTTTCCTTTTTTTTTAATCTAATGCATTCCTAAAGATAAACAAACCAAAAAAAAACAAAATTTCATAAGAAGGAAAACGATATTGAGCACAAGACTATTTCATGGGTTTTGTTTAATTACTTTAATTAAACTAATCTAATCACATCCTCCCTGTCTTTCTTCCCTAAAAATCTAATTCAATTAAAGAAAACATATGAAAACAAAACAGCCATGTTGGTGATGACGCAAAGTGATAAACAGTACAAATGAAGAAAGAAACTATGAGAGGCAGCAAACGGACGAACAGAACAGATGGAAAACAAAATGAAGAATGAAAATATGAAAGGCTTCTACCAATTTTCTCAAGATCCATTGCAGAAAGAAACAATTTAACAAGGAAACCAAAGCAATTACCGTTAAAAAAAAAAAACATGACAGAACAACACCCAAAAAAATTAACAATGCACACCTGAAAAATATGAAAAATCAAGCTTTATTTCCTTGAAGTTCTGGTTACAAGCTGCTGTACTTCCTCTCAATCTCTCCAATTTTCCTTCCAGGCTCGCCAATTCTCTTCCCTTCTCCCTCCTCGATTTTTCTCCCAATTTTCGACCTCCAAATTTTTTTCTCCTAAAGCCGAAGGTGCCTCCCCCTTTTATACAGAAATAGAGAGGACTCCAATCCTTTTTCTAATTCTAAATTCTAATCCCAATCCCCAAAATTACAGATAATAATCTAATCCTATTTGAAATTGGAATCCTAAAATTAATCTAGTCTTTACACATCTTCCCTCTTTTAAGGCTAGATTCATACCTTTAAAATATCAGGACTCCCAATTTGAATCGATTTCGAAAATCTTCTGCGACTCTTGATAAGGAGAGATAAATCAAGAAGAGTTTTGTGAAATTTTGGAGAGGGTCGGCAGCAAAAGGAAGAAACGAGATTTTTGGGAATCTAGGGTTCGACAGAGCCCAGGGCTTTATCTTTATTTCAACTTACAGGCAAAACGACGTGGTTTTGCTAGTTCTTCATCTCAGCCCTTCAAGCTTTACAATTTTTGTGAAATGGTCCACAAACTTTTACTTTTCTCACTTAGCCCCAATTAAAATTGGGTTATGACAAATGGAACTAAGATATCTAAACTTTGTACAGAATTGAATTTTAGTTTCATAGAATATTAAATCAAGAAATTACTTCAGGGAAAAAAAGGCATTTCCTCTGCTTCATTTCCTCTTAATAAATTTAAGGGTGGTCATAAATCATAAGTATTGCCATGAATTGGTGGTCCTCTTCTCCCTTTTGCTTGGTTTAGTAAGCAACAGAGAAGGAAAGAGGACTGGAGGAAATGTATTGCCCTCCTTACCACATTTGAGGGATTTGGAGGGATTTTTTTCTTTACTTTTATTTATTTCGGACATAAAACTAAAAATTTTATTTTAATTATTTATTTAATTTATAAAATTATAATTTACCAAGAAAATAAAATTATAGATTAAATTTTATTATATTTTTAACTTGAGAAAAAGAAAAATCAAGATATACTAACATTAAAAATATTAAGATATTTAATAATAATCACATAATAAATTTTATAAAATTAGGATTCACATTATATTCTATACATTTAATAATTATGATTAAATGTTTCGGTTTTTTTTTTAATACTAAATCATTCTGATTTTCTCTTTTCTCTATTAATTCTCTTGAAATTATTTAATTAAATAAAGAAGGTAATCAATGCTTATAAAAATTGAGAAGGAGGTATTGAATGCTTGGCTAAAATATATATTTAATCCCTTATTTTATTAAATTTAAAATTTTAAACTTCTTACCTTATATTATGAAATTTTTAATCTTTAAGTGTAAATATTTGAAGATTTTAACGCCTAAACAAACAAAACTCTCTATTAAAGAAAAAATAAAATATTTACATAATTAATACTCAGAGATTGAAAGTGTAATAATTTAGTTCTAAAAATTCAAAAAAAAAAAAAACTAAGAAAATTAATAAACAACTTTCTCATATACACTAGAATAATATTAAATTAATAGGTAACTTTTCATATACATTAAAATAATATTAGATATCTATAATTAAATCAAGCGATTAGCTCAATTTAAATAAAGAATTTTGATTGAGATTAAAAAATTTTATTGATTGAATTAAGGTAGAAAATCTTGAAAACAGAAGAATATATAACCAATAAATTTTCTTTAATCTCAATAGGATTTCTTTCTTTAAATTAAGGTAATTGTTCAATTGGATTGTAAATATATAATATTGTTCTTATATATGTAAAAAAGTCATCCACTAATTATTTTTCATTTACTATTTTTAAAATTTTATTTTTAACTAAATTATTATATTTTTAATTTTTAAAGACGGATCACGTAAATATTTTATTCCCACATTAATAAAGAGTTAATGAATTTTGTTGATTTAGAAGGTAAAATCTTCAAACCTTTGCATTTATGGATTAGAAACTTCATAATATAAAATAAAGGGTTAAAAATTATAAATTTAATAAAATGGAGGAGTAAGTTTATATTTTAGCCTCAATGCTTCCTCTCTTTTATCTTTCCTTAAATTATTTAATTAAATAAAGAAAGGTATTCTATGCTTGCCCACGTATTTCCTTAAACAAATTCAATTTTTTTATTAAAAAAATTAAAGAATGGATTCATTTGCATTGGTTTCCTTCTCAGATTCTACTTTTTACCTGTTCCAGGTCAGCACTGATTTTTATTCGAACAGTTTTAAAGCCCATTAAAAAATTCCCTTTCATGCATTTCAGTTTCCTTGAAAATTTATTGTTCTTTCCCTTCTTTTAGCCGTCGTCAGGGGAAATCATAGAGTCCGAATTGTGGAAGAGTTGATACAGACACTGGCTTTCAC